ATCTCTCCATCTCCCGTCTGATCGATGTTTATAAACAATGTTACTTTGTATCTCTATCTCTTGTCTGATCGATGTTTATAAACAATGTTACTTTGTATCTCTCCATCTCCCGTCTGATCGATGTTTATAAACAATGTTACTTTGTATCTCTCCATCTCCCGTCTGATCGATGTTTATAAAAACAATGTTACTTTGTATCTCTATCTCCCGTCTGATCGATGTTTATAAACAATGTTACTTTGTATCTCTCTATCCCCCGTCTGATCGATGTTTATAAACAATGTTACTTTGTATCTCTATCTCCCGTCTGATCGATGTTTTATAAACAATGTTACTTTGTATCTCCCATAATGGTGAGGTTTCCCTGCAGTAGTTTGTGTCTCATTATCCGGTTTGTTATCGCCATTCCGGTGATTAGATTGGAATCTGCCTCTAGTGCTCCATTGTATCGGCCCCCGCCCCCCATAACATTGTTTATGTGATCAGGTGAGTAGCTGTGCGATGAACTGAAAGAAACCTTCATAGTTAAAGAAATAATAATTTATTAACTCCAATGAAGAAATGAACTTGGTGACCATTATATAAATAAAATATTTCCTCCGAATGGTTCTGGTTGTCCCTCCCCTTCTCTGAATGGTTCTGGTTGTCCCTCCCCCTCTCTGAATGGTTCTGGTTGTCCCTCCCCTCTCTCCAAATGGTTCTGGTTGTCCCTCCCCCTCTCTGAATGGTTCTGGTTGTCCCTCCCCCTCTCTGAATGGTTCTGGTTGTCCCTCCCCCTCTCTGAATGGTTCTGGTTGTCCCTCCCCTTCTCTGAATGGTTCTGGTTGTCCCTCCCCCTCTCTGAATGGTTCTGGTTGTCCCTCCCCCTCTCTGAATGGTTCTGGTTGTCCCTCCCCCTCTCTGAATGGTTCTGGTTGTCCCTCCCCCTCTCCGAATGGTTCTGGTTGTCCCTCCCCCTCTCTGAATGGTTCTGGTTGTCCCTCCCCCTCCCTGAGGAGCTCTGCTTAGGGCTGGTGCTGAACAATGACTACTTGCTGCCCCCAACAGGCCACATACCATAAGGCAATGCAAAGCGTTTTATTGAGGGCGTTTCACAAAAAACACAGAAAACCAATTATGAAATGTACGTGAGGTTTTGTGGAAAGAGGAAAATGAGAGACGGAAAAAACAGACAAAGAGAAAAAGGAGAGAGACAGAGAAAGACAGCCGGGGTGGGGGCATAGAGATAAAGACAGCAAAAGGGCAAATAGAGAAAGGGAGATAAATCCAGGGCTCAAAGAGAGAGAGAAATGGGGCAACAACAAGAAGAAGAGAGAGAGCAGGGGGCAGGGAGAAAGAGAGTGCAGGAAAAGAAAGAGAGAGAGCAGGAGGGGGAGAAAGAAGAGAGAGAGCAGAAGGGGGGGTAAGAAAGAGAGAGCAGAAGGGGGGGGTAAGAAAGAGAGAGAGGGGGCAGGGGCAGGGAGAAGAAGAAGATAGTGCAGGGTAACAGGAGAGTGAGCACAAGAGGAGGGAAAAAGGAGAGAGAGAGGAAGGGGGGAGGAGAGAGAGCAAGAGAGAGAGCGGGGCAGGGAGGAGGAGAGGAAAAAAGAGAGAGCATAGAGAAGGCGAGAGAGAGAGAGAGAGAGCAGGAGGGAGAGAGAGACAGCAGGGGCATGAAGAAAGAGAAAAAGAAGAGCAGGGGGGAAAGCAGGAAGAAGGAGAGAAAGCAAGGAGAAGTAGGGAGAAAGCAAGGGCAGGGAGAAAGGAGAGAGAGAGAGCAGTGGACAGGGAGAGAGCAGTGGCAGGAGAGGAAGTGAGAGAGGCAGGGAGAAGGAGAGAGAGAGAGCAGAAGGCAGGAACAAGGTGGAAAATAGAGATCAGGAGGCAGGTAGAGAGCGAGCAGGGAGAGGGAAAGAGAGAGCAGGAGGGGATAGAAGGAGACAGAGAGAGAACAGGAAGGAGGGAGAAGTATAAAAAGAGAGAGCAGGGGAGAGAAGGAGAAAAAGATGGAGAAAGAGAGGGGGCAGAGAAGGAAAGAGAGAAAGGAGAAGTAAAAGAGAACAAGAGAGAGCAGGGGCAGAAGGAAAAAAAAGGCAGAAGGAGAGAGAGAGCAGAGAATGAGAGCGGGAAAAAGAGAGGGGGAAGTAGGGGGGCAGGAGAGAGAGAGAGGGAGGGAGAGGAGGAGAGGGAGGAGAGGGAGGAAGTGGCAGGGAGAGAGAAAAAGGTAGAGCAGGGGGGGAGGAGAAAGGAGGGCAGAAAGGAGAGAAAGAGTAGGAAGAAGGAGAGAGAGACAGCAGGAGGCAGGGAGAAGGTGAAAAAGAGAGAGCAGGGATCAGGCAGAAGGAGGGAGAAAGAGAAAAGGAGAGAGCAGTGGTGTGGGGAAGGAGAAAAAAGAGAGAGAGCAGGAGGCAGGAAGAAGGTGGAAAATAGAGAGCAGGGGCAAGGAGAAGAGAGATCTGTGGCAGGGATAAGGAGAAAAAAAGAGAGCAGGAGGCAGGGAGAGGGAATGAGAGAGAAGGAGGGGGAGAAGCAGAGAGAGAGCAGAAGGGAGGGAAGTATAAAAAGAGTGAACAGTGGCAGGAAGGAGAAAAAGAGAGAGCAGGGGGGGGATTGAGAGTAGGGGGGAGAGATGGAGAGAGAGGCAGAGGAGGGGGAAGGAGAAAGAGAGAGGCAGGAGAGGGAAAGAGAGGCAGGAGGGGGAGAAGGAGAGGAGAGCGGGAGGGAGGAGGGGAGAGCAGTGGCAGGAGGAGAGAGAAGAGAATTAGAAGGGGGGAGATGGAGGAGAGAAGGGAAAGGAAGAGAGTGAGGGGAGGGAGAAGGAGAGGGAAAAAGAGAAAGTAGGGGGAGGGAGGGCAAATGAGAGAGAGAGCAGGGAAAGGAGAGAGAGAGAGCAGAAGTCAGTGAGGAGAAAGAGAGCATGCAGGGAGAGGAAAAGAGAGAGCATGAGGTGGGAGAAATGGAAGGAGGGAGCAGAGGCAGGGAGGAGAAAAAGAGAAAACAGTGGCAGGGAGGAGAAAAAGAGAGAACGGGGCAGGGTGAACGAGAGATAGCTGTGGCAGGGATAAGAAGAAAAAAAGAGAGCAAGAGAGGAGGGAGAGAGAGAAGCATGGAGAGGAAAAGAGAGAGCAGGAGGGGGGAGGAGAAGGAGAGAGAGAGGGGGGAGGGGGAGAAGGAGAGGAGAGAGAGGAAGGAGGGCAGTATAAAAAGAGGAAAAGTGGCAGGAAGGAGAAAAATAGAGCATGGGGCAGGGATTGAGAGTAGGGGGGAGATATGGAGAGAGAGAGAGAGCAGAGGACAGGGAAGAGAAAGAGTGCAGGGAAAGAGAGGGAGAAGGAGAGCAGGAGGGGGAGAAAAGATAGAAAAAAGAGAGAGCAGTGGCAGGGGAAGGAGAAAATAGTGGCAGGGAGGAAGGAGAAAAAGAGAGAGCAGGGGCAAGGAGAAGGAGAGAGAGAGAGCGTGCAGGGAGAGGGAAAGAGAGAGCAGGAGGCAGGAGAAGTAGAGCAGGAGGGAAGGAGAAATATAAAAAAGAGAGAGCAGTGGCAGGGAGAATGAGAAAAAGAGAGAGCAGGGAGGGAGAAGGAGAGGAAGAAGGAGAGTAAAAAGAGAGAACAGGGCAGGAAGAGATAAAGTAGAAGCCAGGGAGAAGGAGGGAGGGAGAAGGAAAGAGAGAGAGAGGAGAGCAGATAGGAGAGAGAAGAGAGGAGGAGAAGGGGGCAGGAAACTACGACAAAAAGAGAGGGGAGGGGGAAGAGAAAGGGAGAGAGCAGAGGGGGCAGGGGGCAGAGGTAAGAGAGAGGGCAGAGCAGGGGGCAGTAAGAAGGAGAGAGAAAGGGAGAGAGAGCAGGGGGCAGAGAAAGGGAGAGAGCGAGATCAGGGGGCAGAGAAAGGGAGAGAGAGCAGGGGGCAGAGAAAGGGAGAGAGCAGCAGGCAGGGGGCAGAGAAAGGGAGAGAGAGCGAGAGCAGGGGGCAGAGAAAGGGAGAGAGCGAGAGCAGGGGGCAGAGAAAGGGAGAGCGCGAGAGCAGGGGGCAGAGAAAGGGAGAGGGAGAGAGCAGAGCAGGGGGCAGAGAAAGGGAGAGAGCGAGAGCAGGGGGCAGAGAAGAGTGAGAGCAGGGGGCAGAGAAAGGGAGAGAGCGAGAGCAGGGGTCAGAGAAAGGGAGAGAAGCGAGAGCAGGGGGCAGAGAAAGGGAGAGCGCGAGAGCAGGGGGCAGAGAAAGGGAGAGGGGAAGCAGGGGGCAGAGAAAGGGAGAGCGCGAGAGCCGGGGGCAGAGAAAAGGGAGAGCGCGAGAGCAGGGGGCAGAGAAAGGGAGAGCGCAGAGGGGGGAGAAAGGGAGAACGCGAGAGCAGGGGGCAGAGAAAGGGAGAGCGCGAGAGCCGGGGGCAGAGAAAGGGAGAGAGCAAGAGCAGGGGGCAGCAAGAAGGAGAGAAGAGAGAGCAGGGAGACAGTGAGAAAGAAGAGGAGGGGGGCTTCTGTTTCATAGTCTTTAGAAATGTGATTGGCCATAACTGTCTAATCCCGGCAGATTCATGTATCAGTAGATCCTGTTGGTGCCTAGATCTAATGATTGATATTTCGGGGGGGGGGGGGGGGGGGTTAAATATCAGAAGCTTTTAGTGGCTGTCAGGAACCCTCTCACACCTCCTGTAACCATCACACATATACAGGGAACAGCAATACACTGACAATCTCCATCGACATTCCGCCACATTGGATACAACCGGCAGACGTGACACACTGACCGAATATTTCAATTCTAGTGACAGAAATCCAACATGGAGATCATTGTATGCAAACAGCAAGTGAGAGAACGAGTACAAGGATGGGGAGACGTGGGGGGGGGGGGGGGGGTGTTCAGCGGGAGATCAATGTCCTTCTTATCATTTCATTTGAGGCAAAGCTAATGTCATTTATGTGCTCCCCCCCCCCCCCCCCCCCAAGGATGTCACTGACATGGGAGGAACTGCAAGCCAGAAAATGAAAGGGTATAGTGCTGTATATACACCAAAGTAATGGCCCCGCCCTCCATATCATGTGATTCGGGTGTTCCAATCCCCTCCATATCATGTGATTCAGGTGTTCCAATCCCCTCCATATCATGTGATTCAGGTGTTCCAATCCCCTCCATATCATGTGATTCAGGTATTCCATTCCCCTCCATATCATGTGATTCAGGTGTTCCAATCCCCTCCATATCATGTGATTCAGGTATTCCATTCCCCTCCATATCATGTGATTCAGGTGTTCCAATCCCCTCCATATCATGTGATTCAGGTGTTCCAATCCCCTCCAATCATGTGATTCAGGTGTTCCAATCCCCTCCATATCATGTGATTCAGGTGCTCCAATCCCCTCTATATCATGTGATTCAGGTGTTCCAATCCCCTCCATATCATGTGATCCAGTGTTCCAATCCCCTCCATATCATGTGATTCAGGTGTTCCAATCCCCTCCATATCATGTGATTCAGTGTTCCAATCCCCTCTATATCATGTGATTCAGGTGTTCCATTCCCCTCCATATCATGTGATTAAGGTGCTCCAATCCCTCCCAATCATGTGATTCAGATGTTCCAATCCCCTCCATATCATGTGATTCAGATGTTCCAATCCCCTCCAATCATGTGATTCAGGTGTTCCAATCCCCTCCCAATCATGTGATTCAGGTGCTCCAATCCCCTCCCAATCATGTGATTCCGGTGTTCCAATCCCCTCCATATCATGTGATTCATGTGTTCCAATCCCCCCCACATCATGTGATTCAGGTGTTCCAATCCCCTCCATATCATGTGATTCAGGTGCTCCAATCCCCTCCATGGACACAGGTGTATACAATCAAGCCCCTAGGCATGCAGACGGCTTCTACAAACATTGGTGAAAGAATGGGTCGCTCTTAGGAGCTCAGACTCCAAACGTGGTCCTGTGATTGGTGGTCACCCGGGCAATAATGGGTCGCTCTCAGGAGCTCAGTGACTCCAAGCGTGGTCCCGTGATAGGTGGCCACCTGGGCAATAAGTCCATCCGTGACATTTCTTGGCTACTAAATATTCAACGCTCAACTGTTAGTGGGATTATAACAAAGTGGAAGCAACTGGGAACAACAGCCACTCAGCCACCAAGTGGGTAGGCCACGTCACATGACAGGGCGGGGTCAGCGCATGCTGAAGCGCACAGAGCGCAGAAGTCACCAACTGTCTGCAGAGTCAATAGCTAAAGACCTCCAAACTTGGTGTGGCCTTCAGATGAGCCCAACAACAGTGCGTAGAGAGCTTCATGGAATGGGTTTCCATGGCCGAGCAGCTGCATCCAAGCCTTCCATCACCAAGTGCAATGCAAAGCGTCGGGTGCCGTGGTGTAAAGCACGCCGCCACTGGACTCTAGAGTGGTGGAGATGTGTTCTCTGGAGTGACCAATCACACTTCTCTGTCTGGCAATCCGATGGACGTGTCTGGGTTTGGCGGTTACCAGGAGAACAGTACTTGCCTGACTGCATTGTGCCAAGTGTAAAGTTTGGTGGAGGGGGGGGATTATGGTGTGGGGGTGTTTTTCAGGGGTTGGGCTTGGCCCCCTAGTTCCAGTGAAGGGAACTCTTAAGGCGACATTTTGGACAATTTCATGCTCCCAACCTTGTGGGAGGAGTTTGAGGATGGCCCCTTCCTGTTCCAACATGACTGCGCACCAGTGCACAAAGCAAGGTCCATAAAAGACATGAAGGAGCCAGTTTGGGGTGGAGGAACTTGACTGTCCTGTACAGAGTCCTGACCTCAACCCCATAGAACACCTTTGGGATGAATTAGAGCGGAGACTGCGAGCCAGGCCTCCTCCCCCGACATCAGTGCCTGACCTGACAAATGTGCTTCTGGAAGAATGGTCCAACCTTCCCATAGACACCCTCCTAAACCTTGTGGGGGGCCTTCCCAGAAGAGGCAAAGGGCGGGGCCAACTCAATATTGAACCCTACGGACTAAGACTGGGGGGCCATTAAAGGTCATGTGTGTGGAAAGGGCGGGGCCAACTCAATATTGAACCCTACGGACTAAGACTGGGGGGCCATTAAAGGTCATGTGTGTGGGAAGGCAGGCTGACCAATACTTGGGGCAATATAGTGTATATATAAGGGGGGGGTGGGGACAATACTTGGGGCAATATAGTGTATATATAAGGGGGGGGTGGGGACAATACGTGGGGCAAATAGTGTATATATACGGGGGGGGCGGGGACAAAAATTGGGGCAATATAGTGTATATATACGGGGGGGGGGACAATACGTGGGGCAATATAGTGTATATATACGGGGGGGGGGACAATACTTGGGGCAATATAGTGTATATAAACGGGGGGGGCGGGGACAATACGTGGGGCAATATAGTGTATATATACGGGGGGCGGGGACAATACTTGGGGCAATATAGTGTATATATACGGGGGGCGGGGACAAAAATTGGGGCAATATAGTGTATATATACGGGGGGGCGGGGACAATACGTGGGGCAATATAATGTATATATACGGGGGGCGGGGGACAATACTTGGGGCAATATAGTGTATATATACGGGGGGGGCGGGGACAATACGTGGTTCAATATAGTGTATATATACGGGGGCGGGGGACAATACTTGGGGCAATATAGTGTATATATACGGGGGGGGCGGGGACAATACGTGGTTCAATATAGTGTATATATACGGGGGGCGGGGGGGACAATACTTGGGGCAATATAGTGTATATACGGGGGGGGCGGGGACAATACTTGGGGCAATATAGTGTATATATATGGGGGGCGGGGACAATACTTGGGGCAATATAGTGTATATACGGGTATATACGGGGGGGCGGGGGGGACAATACGTAGGGCAATATAGTGTATATATACGGGGGGGCGGGGGGGACAATACTTGGGGCAATATAGTGTATATATGGGGGGCGGGGACAATACGTAGGGCAATATAGTGTATATACGGGGGGCGGGGGGACAATACTTGGGGCAATAGTGTATATACGGGGTGTGCGGGGACAATACGTAGGGCAATATAGTGTATATATACGGGGGCGGGGACAATACGTAGGGCAATATAGGGGGGCGGGGGGGGGACAATACGTGGGGCAATATAGTATATATACGGGGGGCGGGGACATTACTTGGGGCAATATAGTGTATATATATCGGGGGGGGCGGGGACAATACTTGGGGCAATATAGTGTATATATGGGGGGCGGGGACAATATGTAGGGTAATATAGTGTATATACGAGGGGCGGGGGACAATACTTGGGGCAATATAGTGTATATACGGGGGGCTTGGGGGACAATACGTGGGGCAATATAGTGTATATACGGGGGGCGGCGGGGACAATACTTGGGGGCAATATAGTGTATATATACGGGGGGCGGGGACAATACGTAGGGTAATATAGTGTATATACGAGGGGCGGGGACAATACTTGGGGTAATATAGTGTATATACGGGGGGCAGGGACAATACGTGGGGCAATATAGTGTATATACGGGGGGGCGGGGACAAAAATTGGGGCAATATAGTGTATATATACGGGGGGCGGGGACAATACGTGGGGCAATATAGTGTATATATACGGGGGGGGGGGGGACAATACTTGGGGCAATATAGTGTATATAAACGGGGGGGGCGGGGACAATACGTGGGGCAATATATTATAGTGTATATATACGGGGGGCGGGGACAATACTTGGGGCAATATAGTGTGTATATATACGGGGGGGCGGGGGGCGGGTGGACAAAAATTGGGGCAATATAGTGTATATATACGGGGGGCGGGGACAATACGTGGGGCAATATAATGTATATATACGGGGGGCGGGGACAATACGTGGGGCAATGTAGTGTATATATACGGGGGGCGGGGGGACAATACTTGGGGCAATATAGCGGGGCGGGGACAATACGTTGGGGCAATGTAGTGTAATATACGGGGTGCGGGGGGACAATACTTGGGGCAATATAGCGGGGCGGGGGGACAATACGTGGGGCAATGTAGTGTATATACGGGGGGCGGGGAACAATACTTGGGGCAATATATGGGGGGGCGGGGACAATACGTGGGGCAATATAGGGGGGCGGGAACAATACGTGGGGCAATATAGTGTATATACGGGGGGCGGGGGACAATACTTGGGGCAATATAGGGGGCGGCGGGGAACAATACGTGGGGCAATGTAGGGGGGCGGGGACAATACGTGGGGCAATATAGTGCAGTTCCTCAGTGCTATGAGGAGGGTAAGTCTAGACGAAGCTGAAAGTGTCCACTAGGTGGCACTCAGGTGGCTGAGTCCGGGATGCATTAGTGGCATTCCATACATTGAAGTGTCCGTGAACCATCCAGCCAATCGGCCCCCAGGGGACACCGAAACCTCAATATTGCATGTTATTTATCATTTTTATTGGGCATTAACATTTTGGGTGCGGGGAAATTTCAACGGCAAGGAATTTTACTCCAATATTTGTAAATCTTGTGACTGACAACTCATGGGGCCCCCCGGGCACAATTGGGGATCATGGGCCCCTGTGTCCTTGCCCAAACTCAAAACACACCCAAAAAAGTCTATAAAAAGATACCAGGGGCATTTTATGGGGCCCCCTACTGACCCCGGGCCCTTGGACAGTGCTCCGAGTGCTCAATTGGTCAGTCCTTCCCTGATAATGTGGTGTAAATTTTAATTGTTGTATACGAATAAATATTTTGCAACCATCAGTCGGTGTCATATCCGTCCTTCCGTGTATCACCCCAATACCCCATGTGATCCCGAGTCTCCATGACTGAAATAACTGAAACCTATTGAATGAAAGGGGAGGGGCCAGGAACAGTCAGGCTGGGGAGGAAAAAGACTGGATGCTGCTGGACGTCCTCCAACCAAGAAATTGCTGCAGCTTCTATTGCACATTGTGAGAAGCTCCCAGTGTGCAGTGACATCAGAGGAAGCCGTTTCAGCCCAGGGGAGGAGCCGGTACACCTGTGCAAGACTAAAGGGGAGGATCCCGTACACCTGTGCAAGACTGAAGGGGAGGAGCCGGTACACCTGTGCAAGACTGAAGGGGAGGAGCCGGTACACCTGTGCAAGACTAAAGGGGAGGATCCCGTACACCTGTGCAAGACTGAAGGGGAGGAGCCGATACACCTGTGCAGGACTGAAGGGGAGGAGCCGATACACCTGTGCAAGACTGAAGGGGCGGTGCTGGTACACCTGTGCAAGATTGAAGGGGAGGAGCCAATATGCCTGTGCAAGACTGAAGGGGAGGAGCCGGTATACCTGTGCAAGACTGAAGGGGAAGAGTCGGTACACCTGTGCAAGATTCAAGGGGAGGAGCCGCTACACCTGTGCAAGACTGAAGGGGAGGAGCTGGTACACCTGTGCAAGACTGAAGGGGAGGAGCCGATACACCTGTGCAAGACTAAAGGGGAGGAGCCGGTACACCTGTTCAAGACCAAAGGGGAGGAGCCAGTACACCTGTGCTAGACTGAAGGGGAGGAGCCGGTACACCTGTGCAAGAAAAAGGGAGGAGCCGGTACACCTGTTAAAGACTGAAGAGGAGGAGCCAGTACACCTGTTCAAGACTGAAGGGGAGGAGCCGATACACCTGTGCAAGACTGAAGGGGATGAGCTGGTACACCTGCGCAAGACTGAAGGGGAGGAGCCAGTACACCTGTGCAAGACTGAAGAGGAGGAGCCGGTACACCTGTGCAAGACTGAAGGGGAGGAGCCGGTACATCTGTGCAAGACTGA